AGGAAAAAGTCACTCTAATGGTTTTAAGTTGGTGCAGTTTCTTGATCCGTTTGACTCTTGTTGTCACTATTTTTCTGTTTGTCATGATTTGTCCCTAACCCCGCTGCTCAGACATCTTCCAGGACAGCAACCAGGTGCTCTTCCAGATGTGTCCGGGCCTGAAAGATGTCCCGTGTGGACGCACAGTGCACATGGGACAGTCTGAAGACCCCCGCTGCCCGCTGCACCTCACCCTGCCGCCCCCCATGTTCCAGCCCGAGCAGGAGCCCCCCCCACAGGAGCCCATCACCACCGCAAGCAGAGACATGTACCTGAGTGCAGCAGAGCTTCAGCCCACAGAGAGCATGCCCCTAGAGTTCAGTGATGTACGTAGAAGTGATGATCTCCTACCACTGTCCTATAGCACATATTCATTTTATTAAGAATATCATGTTCCAAACTTATCAATGGAAATGATTCCTGCACTTTTGGGGTGCTTTCAAAACCACTGTAGCTTCTTTAGGTGCAGTTCAAATGATCTAACATTACTTTGAGGAAGTAAGATTAATTCCAGGGTTAGTTTTTCCCTTTATCATGTGTTAAAAGCTGATATATAAAAAAAAAAGTAAATGCAGACCTTTTTGTTCCTTATTTGCATTTGGAAGAGAAAACCAGCTCCAGGCCAATATTTGGAAAAAGAGGATCTCAGATCGCTTTGTGATGGTCAATATATAATAATATAATATTGACATTTGAAATGGGATTAATATCGTTCTTTCCAATGATTGTAAATTACAAGATTGAGATGTATGCCCGTTATCAGTAGTGAAGTCGGTCTCTTGGGGTCTGTGTGCGAGCACCAGAACCATAAAAGGCAAACATTGTAATCCCTTTTATTTTCTGCTTCCTCTGGAAGATGCACCAAACTACAGATGTGAAAGCACCCACATAATATTATGGTGGGCGTCTTAAGAAGACGGGGTAGCCGTAGTGAGTATTTGTAACTCTAAACAAGCCCTTGGGGAAATGCTACTGAGAGATTCAGATGTGATCTTGTGAATGCAAAAAAGCTGATGATCAAAAGTTCAGATTGACTACACAGCTCACCATCGGCTGTTAGTATTGTGCAATGTTCTGTGTAAAGCATAAACTCTAAATGTGGCTTCCTGGCAGCAGTTGCACCTGAAGCTGATTTTCTAACCAAATCGGCATTTACAAAAATAACACTGCCTGGTGGTATGAGGTGTAAAAGGAAACAAACATTTAAAATGGCCCCCACAAGTTTTGCGTTGAGATTTAGATTTCCTCCTGTTACACAGGACCTGGATGTGGAAGGGGACGGGATGCAGGGTCCGCCCTCCCCCCTACAGTTTGACACGGCCCTGGCCCTGGAGGACCACACCATCAGAGCCATCGCTGAGGCCCCCATGGACATCCTGATGGGAGGAGACCTGGACCAGGCGGACCTGGACGCCTCGGGACACGAGCTCTCAGAGAGAGACATGGCTGCCATCATGCATGAGCAGGTTAACTCTCGATCAGGGGCGCCTTGAATATCACAAAACTCTCTTTTAAAGATGGCACCCATACACTGAAATAACAACAATCTGTATGCATTGTGTGGGTCTAATAAAATGTTGGCCACAATCTGTCAATACAAGATCAATTTGAAGGCGTGTCAGTTTGTGAATCATGGTGCTGCGATATAATTGGAGGGGTGGGGAAGCAAAACAAAATGCTTTAATCTCAATATTTACATTCAAACTGTTTAATTTATTACAATGATTCCTCCTGATCATACTCGTTCGAGTTTATTTCCTAACTGCTTGTATTGTTGGTGATGGAGAACACAATCTTTGTTTTATCTGAGTAAACAACGCTTTAGAAATCTCCATCCAATTAAGTTGATTTCTTTCAAACTAAATTAGGAACAAAAATCCATCTGTGTCAATGTCATTCCATTCGAGCCCATCCAGGAAACAGAAGAAGATGAACTTTAAAGATGCATAAACTCGCACATTATCAAAACATTTTTGTAATATTTTTTCACAGAATCAGTACTGTGACATTTTATATCCATATCATGCATTAGGAGAAGGAAGGAATCTCTTTATCGGCTGGTAGGAAGAGGAGGAATGGTTGCTGCAAGCAAACGCTCTTCTAATGTTAAAAGGGACCTATCATGCAAAATGCACTTTTTGATGTCTTTTATACATAAATATGTGTGTCGGAACTCACGCAGCGTCAGAAAATAAAACCCTCTCTCTTTTCCTCCGTACCCAAATATCTAAAAACGGGGGAACAACGGAGCTGATCCAGATTTGCGTCCGATATGACGTAATATCTGAAATGTGCGATATGACGTAATATCTGAAATGTGGACCCACGGCCCTATCAGAAAGTGGCTATCAGAAACAATGCCCGACTGTTTTGGACGTAATATGGTCGGTGCATGTTTACATTAGCATCGCTAACACTCAGAGCTAACCTGTACTGGAGAGCATGTGTGTGAAGAAGCAGGAAATAAAAGGGAACTCACCTTGTGGTATAACCGGCAAGAGAGAAAGCCTTTGAGCTCCATACTGTTTCAGAAATAATCCTTGATAATCCATGATATGGTGTTTTATCACGGCAGTATTTAGTTTAGACGGTAGCTGCCGGTAGAATCTCCCGGATGAGCTCAGCCCCCTAATTTTTTTTTTTAAAGCTTTATACCCCAAATCAGCACTTTAGAAACAGGAAGGGAAATATAGGGATATGAGGCATGGCTAGAATGGGTGATCTGTTTGGTATTTTGAGCAAATCACTTCATGGACATGTTTTTTATATATTAGTATACATCTGAGACCTATGCTATTGCCTACAAATAGCATGATGGGTCCACTTTAAGTTTGGTAAACATCTTAAATAATGAAGGTATTCGGTGATCCAGCGATCAAAACACAAACGTTCTCTGCATTTGTTTATGTCAGATAAAGTGTGAAGCTGAAAAAGGAAAATGTGCAAGTGAAACTGTCAACTGGCGCATCCTGTTAGTGAGAAAATAATGTTTGAGTCCCAGCGAGATGCTGTCCCAGCACTGAGTGAAAAGCTCAGTCTGTAACACAAAACATCCACAGTCCTGCTGAGAACAAAGCAAGCTGCTGAGTTAGAAAGACATCAGAGGCTCATTAGCGTTCTGGTGATTGACCAGCTGAACTCCCGTTACCCTCACGACTATCTTAATGTTTTCACATCCCTCCGCCTCTTTCCATCGTATGTGAAGTGTCTGTGAGTCCAACAAGTCTTTTTATATCCCATCTATACGAGTCATACAAGACCCAAGGTGTCAGAATACCTGTTTTGTCCCTGAGACTGTCGTTAAACCTTTGTGAAGTACCTGCTTTCTGAGCACGAGGATCATTGAAATTCAACGTTTGATTTCAGAGGTTTCTCTGCCTAGATCTGGGCTGCCTGCTAGGATTTAAAGCAGATTAACTTTGAAAGTGAATTAGCTCTCAGCTTCTGCAGTTGCTACAGTTTTCTTATCCGCTTTTGCCACCACCACTGGCTCACACATATTCCCACATTTACTAAATATTCCAAGCAATGCAATATATGATCTGTTTGTGTGACCCTAGCGTTGGCGGAGTATATGAAAATTAGAGTGAAAAAGAGATAATTGACACTCATGGAGGCATACACATCACTGTACAGGCGTTATCTAAAAAAAGAACACACGCCCTGGATACATTTGTGCTAACATGTAACTGTGATGCACAAGGGATTTAGTGGGAAGACACAACACAGCAGCATAAGTTCAAAGCTCAGTGTAATCACATTTGATGCCTTCGGATAGATATCTGAATGAAACAGATAACAGCCTCATAAAAAGGACAGGGGATAATGAAGTATGTCATCGCAACATGCTGCCAACAAATGTATACAAGGGCCTATCTCCATCATTATCTGCTATCCGGTGGCAGGGGATGCTCTGCTGTTATCCGCTTGGCATTTGGAGCTTGGCATCCCGTCTAATGAGTCGGAGGGATATCGGTTTGCGTGTTCAGAAGGAGAGGTGTACAAGCTTTGAACTCATGTGGAAGGGAGGGTTCACAAATCCTAAGAAGTCTGCATTAATTATGTAGTGTGGCAGTGAACTCAGACTTGTAAATGCACAGTAGGGTCTGTGATGTAATTGATATTTGGGGTTTTGAATGATGAGACCAGTTTTTCTCTGAATTTCCTTTGTGCCGGTGTTCAACACAGTTAAAGGGCCGTCCGGATGATTTTCCACGTATTAGGCATGCATAGTTGATACAACTATCATTTAAAGTATTGACAATTGCACATTGTCCCGCTTATTTCAAGGCCACATTCTAAATTAACCAACGACTTGACTCACAATATTAATTGAAAAGGATTTTATTGTATTTTCTTCGTATTCGTCCGCAAAGAAAGTCCGTTCCAGGGCGCACCAACGGCTGGAACTACGGCACAACAACGCAACTTAAACTGACTGCAGTACTGATCGAAGTTTTCTGCAACTGTCCAAGTCCATTTTCTTTTTCATTTACCAGCCTTCAAACAAGGCCAGACCGTGTTTGTGTTTCCTTCCTGTGTGTCTTCTTCTGTTGATTTTTCTAACCACCCAAAGTTTGTGCTTTTCACAAATGTTGGCTGTTCAAAAAGAACTCCACACTGTTTTCTGATTATTGAAAATGAATGTTTGTTGTCCACAGCTGACGTTTAATCGGCCATGCTTCTTTTTTGTGGATTTATATGAATGTCCCTTGATCCTTCTGAGCAACGGTCATGTTATGCTTCGCGGTGGTCTGTTAGCGAGTATTAATAAACTCTGATATATCCAAATTGAATCAGAATAGAGTATTTATATCAGTTAGTACAAGCGTGTGATCCCTCACTGGCTTCCCCAAGTCCTCGTTGGATGCAGCTCAAAACAATCTCACCTTTCAGGTCCATTTAGTTTCTGTTCTGGAGATTTTAACTGTCACCTTTAATTGCCAATCGTGTGATGAATTGCCATTGTGATGGGTGAGTGCTGTGTCCCACGTGAAACCCATTTGCCATTCACAATTAATGTTGCTGAAAATTAAAGCGATAAGAAGAACAATGTGTTAATCTGTTCTCAAAGTCTCTGATGTCAGCAGCTTTTAACTTTAACACTTGTAGACGAGGTTCGCCGAGGGTGAAAGCAACAGCATGCTTCATAAGACGCAGTCACACATGAGAGCTGCCCTGAATAACCAAAGTTTTTATCTACTTCACTGAGCGACCCCTCTGGAGCCATTGGGAGGTTAAGTGCACCTCAACAGCAGGTAATGAGCTGGCGGAGGTCCTTCAGTCTGTCACACTCACATTTATCTCCATATCAGTTTTATTTGGGCAGCTTCTTGGATCTCACTGGCTTATTAATAAAGAGGCCCTATTAGCTTTTCAGGCCTTTTCCTGTTGTTTGTTCTTTAGCATGTGAATGGTCAACAAAAGGCTAAAATCCCTGGGAGTTTCTCACCCAACGAAGAACCATAAAAATACTCTTTGCCTTCAACTGCTTTGCTATGAATTGTAACTTACAAAATAAAAAAGATGAGGAGATTAACGATGAATTACTTCTGTAAAAGTTCATGAAAAAATCATAATCTCTTGGTAGACACAAATATTTGATACCCTGCTACTCCCATTTGTTGATTTATTTACTTAAATTACAAACTACAAAAATAATAAAATGATATTTTGACACTTTTTAAAGACACCCTTATTCACCATGCCCTTTTTTCAAACAGTAAAACACTTTGCTACGTCTTCAAGTACTTGTACCTACTTATCAGTTTCAATGCAGTACTTTGACTATTTGCATATTTTTGCATACCAATTCGGACAAACTCAAATTAGTTTAACTCCTCCATGCTTCACAGAGTAGTTTTTAACACCCAAATGTTATATGATGACAATTATAATGACATAAAATATACACAAATTAAGGCTAATATTTCAAGCTAACTCATTCATTAAGTTAATGAATTAGACCATTAGCATTAGTGCTCATATTAATATATCACGGTGATTATAGAAAGACATTAGGAAGTCAAGAGCCTCTTTTTGGACGTGATCCAGAATATTTGAGAGATGATTAAGGCTGTGCCAGGTTTGGACCTCTGCTTTTTCAAAGCATGTTCAGATTTGGCTCAACTATTTGGACTCATTTTAAGCTCCACAAAGGAATCCCACTTTGTGAAAATTGCTCCTCAGATGAAAAGAAAGAAATACAGCGAAGCCTCACTTTATAAAAAAGCGGCCCTTTTCAACTATTTTCTCATGTCGTGTTCACAGCTCATTATTTTAGCTGCGAATATCAGGATACAGTTAATGAACACTTCCGCAGGCATTTCACCCTTTGAACATAAGTCTGTATGAGGTGTTTCTGTAAGTTAGTCTGACATAAAACCACTATTTTACTTATTTCTAAGGTTAAAAGTAAAGAAAATGACTTGGTTTGAACTCCTCAGGTTTTCTTATACATCAGCAGAGACTTATTAAGTAAACCTGGAGCATAATCTAAAGGTCACATGAGTCTATGAAGAAACACAAGCTTAATATGCTAAATGTAAAATCGTCTTCCAATTATGGAGATGACAGGAAATTGAGAGGCTGCACACAAAGCAGAAT